CATATGTTGAACATCATCTCACCTCGTCTATTTCTTGACAGCAGCAATTGTGATAAAAGCGTGATAAAGTTTATTTTTGGCTGGTTTCAAGTTGTGTTTTGGTTCCTTTCATTTGTGTCAGCTTGTTGACACCAGACAAAGTTGACAACGCACAAATCAAAGCCACTCAAATCACTTTCAACAACGTATCCTGGTTGTCATAGTTAGTCTCCATCAAGGGCAATAGTAGGCATACTCCACAAAATAAGATCTTTTCTCCAAACGTAACAAAACTTATAACTGGCCATAAAGGCGGTTTGACCGCTTACCTTTTTAGCTGCAGCAAAGGCATCCATTTCGATTTTGTTATTCATATTTCATGGCTTAAAGTTTGAGATGTTTACCTCACATTTTAAAAGAGATGGTCAGACTATTTGGTAAAATCGATATATATATATATATATATCATGCTGTAATTGCCATGCAGTTTAGAGTTTTCATGTGTCAACAAATATAGTGCATGCCTACAGCATAGTTATTTGTCAATCAGCAAGCCGTGGCAACTGTGGACAACATCTTGTTGAAGCAGACATGAGGGACTACTCCAGCAAATTTGAGGCAACTAGTCAAGAGTCATGTGCTTTGCAGAAGATAGCCAGAAATAGGTCATAGAAATAGGTCATGACCTGGGCCAAGGTCATATGATGGTTGCGCATGTAAGTTATATCTCATTTCCTCACACAGGACGCCAAAACCACTCTAAAATGCGTACGAACTTGTATTACTTGCGGGCAAGCAGCAAACGTTGACCTGGCTTCAGGTCAATGATCTCGCGTTTTCTGAAAACCTGCAAGATACAAATTGCAGGTAGATGGTATCATGTTCTATTACTGTACTAAGTCTAAACAATGACAAATGACCCAGAAAAAAGTTATGCATTCTCGAAGTTTTGTGGAGGTTGACGTCTTTGACTTGTCAATGGTCTACTTGGGCTTGTTGTCTAAGGGAAAAACAATGTTCTGATGGTGCGAAAGGAAGGTTTTGGTGTTTCTTCGCCGAGATGGTCGATCTATGATTTTGTGAATGCAGCGCCACGGGTATTGCAATTTCTCTTGAAGCCTGTTATTTATTAAGAATAAAGGTTTTGGCATTTTTCGAGGTGCACCCTGAAATTGGGCGTCTATGGAAAATAAAGGTTTTGACTTCAAAAACTGAATACAAAAAATTGTCCCACTTGCCGAACATCGAAGAACGCGCCGATCAAGAATTTCGTAACCGTAAAAGCGCATAAACTCCTCTTGAAAATAAAGGTCATGATGCCCTGAAAGGAAGGTTTCTGTGCACTCCGTATAAGAAGCTGTTCCAGGATTCCGTTCGCGATGTGAGGCACAACATGGTTGTGCGTCTTGAGAATAAGGGTTTGCGACACCTCGTGATACCGTTTGGAATTCGGTGCTACTTGCAATGAAGGCTGTATTGTTGGAGATAAAAGTCTTAGTCCTCCTCTGTCAAATGGCCCGATCCAGGGTTTTGTCAAAACATCAAGTCACATACATTGTGATGCGCCTGGAATGTTGGTGCCTTCCAAAAACGACAATTTGGGATCCCCTGCAGTGGCACGGGAATTCGATGCCTCTTCGAAGGCAATGCTATATGGTTTCGAAATGAAGGTTTTGTTGCCACGAAGGGGCACCAAAACCTCATGAGTTGCCAAAGGGGGTGGGCGGCATGGCCCATGGGTGGCACTCAAGAAGTTTTGGTGTCCCTTTGTGGCGCCAAAACCTTATGAGTGACCCAAGAGAGTGGGTGACATGGTCCCATGTCGTCTTCCATCCACCCTCAGCACACACCCTCGTCAGCATTGTTTGATAACAAGAAGAATGAGAACATCAAACTTAGACAGCCCTGAGGTGTTGCCATCACGTCAAGCAGCGAAGTATCCTCTTTACCTCCAGCAACTGGTGCTTCTGGGAAGGCCAAATAGACACTTGGAGCCCCCTGGAGCGGCCTGGAAGCGACACCATTTGCGGGCAAGTTTGGCGTCCACTATGAGAGGTAGGTGCAGTGACCCAATATCTGCTGGTTCTTCCCTAGCAAACAATCCGTTTGTAGTCCAAAACAAGATGAAAATCGGTACATGAATTTTGCCGAAAGTATGAAACGTCCATGGTTGAGTTTTTTGGATAAGGGCCCTTTCGACCAAAAGTGACCATTTCAGGGCTATGAGATGAAGGAAATTGGTAACGGTGGGGCAGACTTGCATACCCTTGGGCGGGGGGGGGGGGGGGCGACCGCCGAACTTTAACTCGCGCATGTGCGCTGGCGCCCGGGGTCCCCCTTCCCACGGCGCCCTCCGCCCACTCCTAGTCTTGGTTATGTCGGTTTTTCTTTTTTATTAGGATCCTTTCGACCTATAATGATTATTGCAGGGCTATGGAATGAAGTAAAATGGTCAACACTGGGGCGAACTAACACTCGTCTGAAAGGCCAGCCGCCCAGCTTTCACCCGCGCATGCGCTCTAGGGACCCGGCCGGTATCCCCCTTCCCACTGGGCAGTCGGCCCACTCATGGCTGAAGAATGCTCCGGACAGGCGGAGCGTCGCTAGGATGGAGAATGAAGCAAAATGAGGGAGAGGGATGAAAGTACGTGAGGAATCCTGTTTTGTGCTACATAACATAAGAACTTGCACGGCTGCTAGTTATTACGGAAATCATACCTGTAATCGAATAACTTAAGAATGGCGTCACAACTGAGCATGTCAATATAAGTAACCATCTGGAACTCATGGATAAATATGCAAGAACAGCACGATAAAGGGCAAAAACACCAGCACACATCGATATATGGCTCAGCGCCACTGCCATCTCTCGGCGAGTTGGAAGTACTACACACGAGTGCTAAGGTGGCAGTTTTGCATGGGTAGGTTGGCAGCACCCCAACGTCACACATACGTTCCATGACGTAAACAAGCAATGCCGCATTGAGGAGCATACCAAAAATAAAATTTTGTGGTGTGGAAGTCTCACAAATATACCAACAGTTATTGTGTAGTGAATTCATTTCATCATATCTGATGCTTGGTTCAATATCTTCATATGTGGAACAGGTAGCATGCTTCCTTTGAAGGGAGCAGGCCACTTTTTTAGCTTTTCGCTGATTGTTAGTTCAAACGCGTGTGATTTGGTCAGTAAAAAAGTCATGCAGGGTTGGATTCAGGGACAGGCACCGGACGCCCGCGTCTCTTCCGATCGGCACGTGAAGGCGCCCTTTAGAGGCCGCCTTAGGGCGCCAATGGCACTCGTCTTTGGCGGTCATAGGAGGTGGCACGCATTTTGGTTGTGGGGCGGGGACGGGGTTAGCCATGAAGGACATACGTCATCCCCATATTCCAGAGCCTTTCACTTTAACCTCACAAACCATTACGTGCCTTATAACGCTAGGTATGTGAAGTTTATCCCATAGTTTATCCGCTCAGCTGTTACGATTTGTATCTTATGGTGAGAGCAGCAATGACCTTTTGTTATGAGCGTAATGCTAGACGACACTACGCAAAGATCAAAGAAGACAGTGTTTGTGCTATGATCATCTTTTGACCACGTTTTTTGTAGCCTTCCTGCTTAAGACATTGGGGGGCCAAGACAATACTGGGGGGCCCAACTCAACATTTGGGGGAGGGGGAGGGGCAGGGCCCTCCCAAAGGAATACAAATCGACACCCGTGGAAGCTGTTGTCTTGCGAATTGAACGAAACGTTGCAATATGACTTTGATTCTTTCCCTATGGCATTTACCAGTGGCTCCCTTTGAGGCGCACTTGGCTTTGGGAATGAGAGCATCACATGGCTCACAGTGACGCACTGGTCCAAACTTCAGTCCATGCTCTTCTCGGCGGCAGGCCCTTGCCCCCCGCTGAGCCCATCACAAACGTGCTTTTATTCGCACCAGTAGAGGTGCCACGGTGGCTGCCATGACGACGACAGTCGCGACTGTAGGGAAAGGTGTAGCCCTGTTACGAAAAGCTGACAGCGTAATATGAACTACAAAACGATTTAAAGTGACATCCTCATGTCTTGACGGTGTTGCAGCGGCCCCACCCAGTGCTATTAAAAGACGTAACTGGTCCTGAGGTGGCAGTAGAGTATGCTTTTGGAATATGCCCTAAGGGTGCAACACCCCTCTCAACTGATGCTTGCGAGTTAATACTGGAAGAGAATGGCAGCACAGCGAGCTTTCGGGGGTTGGATCCCTGAGTGGCCGGGACGAGCTGGGCTGCGCGCTGACAGTTGGAAAAATTTGCGTCTAGTCTCAAAGGGAATGCTTCACAGTTGAAAATATGAGGCATCAGATATCATGACACAAGCTCACTTATAACCATTAGCACACTTTTTAAGTGGAGAAGACTGCTCTAGACAGAACAATATTCTGTTGAGTAAACATGCTCCTCAATGCGTCATGGTTTGATTACGTCGTTGTAACTTGCACAACATTGATTGAGAGCCAAGGGATGATCGTTACATGTGGAAATTGCGCTTACGAATGCCAGATATGAACTCCTCAACAGTTCCATTTTTGTTGGCTTTGATCGCCGCATGGCTGATGGAACGACAGGATTTGAACGACGCTATTATGACGTCATGAATGCCAAGGTGACTTTGAAATACTCTCCCCGATATAGCTTTCCCCATTTTCGCGGACGTGCAGCTCAGAAACTTGAGGGGCTTGGGTCTTACAAAGTGCAGGATCATGAACAGCCCCGAAAGGTCTTTAAGACGGCTATTGCAGTTAAAAACCCCACATAAATGTGAACCACTCCTTGTAATCAGCCCTCTTGCACGAGGGCGTCGAGCAATGTCACAGCCATGGGCATTGGGTTGTCTCGCCCGCCGGACCGCGAAGCATTGCGGTACAGTCTACAGAGCATGAGCACCCAGCGACGATATGTGACGTTGGCTTCCGCTCTGGCTGTGTCAGGAGGGGGGCGGGGGCCAACGGGGAACCCGGCCTGGCCGTCATGACCTCACCATTGCGTTTCATGACGGCGAAGGCGCGCACCAGCTCCATCATCGTGGCGCTGGCTGAGCACGGGTCCAGTGAGCCGTATGACCAGGCGTCCCGGTGGTTACCTGGCGACCGGGTGGACCATATCGGTAACACAGGCGTGGGCGGCGCCCAGCTCCACGACATGGACCAACAGCTGCTCACCATGGCCGGCTGCAGAAACCCAGTCCGGGAATTTCCGAAGAGCACGTGTCATTGAACGTGAGTGTCTTTTTTTAACTGAATGGATGGGTGGAGAACCCGGCCACGCGCCACGGCGGGTGTCGCGATGCTAGCGTCATCGAGCATCATTGCAAGATGCTTTACCAGCTCTGTCAAGCCAACTTTCCTCCGCTGGATTCTGTACCCGCGCCTGCGTACCGTGTGTTTTTACATGCGTGACATCTGTGGAAACAGCAAGCGCACACTTAACATCTTTCGAAAAGTAAGCATACGTATTGCATTTATTTTAAACATTTTGATAGTTCCAAACGAAGGACGGTCTAGAGTAGCATGTAATGCACGGGAATTACGCGTTTTAATCCAGTGATGCTTACCTAGGATAATGTATCGGTCTGGTTCAAGATCGCCTCTGATGAAACCCAACACATTGTAGGTGGGCATAACGTTCTCCTCGTTGTTCACGTACAAACGCACAGACCTGCAAGCCAGACACGAAAACAGCACCATCAGGTGTGGAGCAGACGCAAGGCAGGCAAAAACTCCAGCGAATGGCATCTGTGCGTTTCCTGTTGACCCACCACACCTGCGAAAGCATGCCAAAATATGTCATGAAAACCGTTGCAACGTTCACAATGGCACTAACGACACCATTGTTTGCAAGGTAGAGTTCGGCGTCGCTGACGGGCCGCCACTCACCAGTCGTCGCGTGCCAGCCGCGGCCCGAGCCGGTAGGTGGTGCTGAGAGCGCCCCGCCAGGTGGCCGGCGCCTCGGGGCCGGCCATGTTGGCCAGCAGCTTGTGCGCGTCCCGAGCGCTGAGCGTGTGGCACGGCCGCAGCGGCATGTTGGCCGTCGGCCGGGCCGGCTCGCGGAACGCCTCCTCTGGCGCGCAGGTCACCGGTCAGGCAGACGTGGGTGGGAATCAGGGCAACGGCCGGGGCTGGTCCGGCATGTTCATCCGACTGCTGACTCGATGATGTTCCTTCGCTGTGCTCGATCGTGAGATGCCTCAGTTACGAGCAATGACCGAGCACGTGCAATGTCCACTATCGGGACAAGTGCATCCGCAAGAAACATCGGCGTGTGAGCTCGGGGTCGTGCGTCACAGGACCCTAGTGATGAACAGAACGTCGATCGCGAGGCTGAGGCCTGCCGCGGAAAGGACGCGTGCGGTGCGCAGGTCGGGTCACCCGCGAGCAGAAGAGTCGCCGCCGGTCGCCTCACCTGTGGCCGGGTAGCCGTAGGTGAGCGCGTCGCCGTCCAGCCAGGTCACCGTGCCGCGCTGTATGCCCGTGTCGGGCAGCCAGAAGGAGTCCGGGTAGGCGTCGCTGCTGTTGTCCGGGTTGCCGTAGTCGGCCGGGTCGCTGCGGCCAAGTCGCAGATCAGAGTCGACACCTGCGCTGACACACCGCAACGTCCACGGCGTAAACAGCCGTGTGAGACTTCGCTTCACATTGAAAGGTCGCGGCGCACAGGAATCGCACTGAATCGAAATACAAACGCTCAAGTATCTGGATGGATGTTGTTGCGCGAGGGTTGCGGGTTCTTTATCGACGCCAGGGTGCGGTGAAGCCAGGCAGCTCGTCTCACGTGTAGAGGATGGCTCCAGCGGCTCCCAACTCCTGTGCGTTCTTGATCTTGTTGCCGCGGAACATGGCGCCGAAGCGCATGATGACCAGCCTGTCTCGGACCGAGATGCCCAGCTCTTGCAGCAGACGGAAGTCCTCTCTGCGGCCGTAGTTGGCGTACACCAGCTCGTTCTGTCGGCAGCGGCACCGATAGGCGAGCGTAGAGAGCGGTTCATCGGCGCTGGAGAGCTCTCGGGTGGCTCACACTTTCAGGGACTTTATGAGCAGTTATGGTTTGGGGCGGGTACCATCCATGCCGGGATGAACAGGGGTAAATTATTTTATGTACAGGAGGATTTTTATGCATGACATACCAGACACCAAAAACGTTGCCAAATACGCCCTTTTGGTGCGATGTACGCAGGGCACTCGCAGCTCTTTCTTATGGGGATATTTCCGATGCCAGAAACACTTCTTTAAAAAGTAGATGTTGACGCTCGGTTGGCTCCGAGAAGAGACAGCGCGCTGTCACCGGTGCGCGGTGGCGCTGCCTTTCGAGACAAACCATTGGAACATGCATAAATTGTATCCGCCTGGCTCACAACACTTTTGGATGGGTTTGCACATGTTGGGAAAATGCTTCAGATTAAGGTTATCACGTGTCGGCCGTGATAACTTTATCACGGCCGGGTTGTGCTTGGTGAAGAACAACACCAAGAACAACACAATAGCATCGTGCAGTTAAACACGATGCAAAAACAGATGTCAGCTACTCTTACCGAGGTGACATTGCCAGAGGGACAGAAGGATCACCAACTACTCTTACCGAGGTGACACTGCCAGAGGGACAGAAGGATCACCAACTACTCTTACCGAGGTGACATTGCCAGATGTACAAAAGGATCACCAACTACTCTTACCGAGGTGACATTGCCAGAGGGACAGAAGGCCAAGTACGCTGGCAGCTCGCCCCTCTCCAGCTGGTCCGGATCATCGGACAAGGACGAGGTGAACTTCACGCGACCCGCGCCGTCCAATA